TTCTGCTCCACCACATTAGGCTGTGTGACTGAGCAGTCTATTTACACAGTGTATTAAATTTCCCAAGAGGTGGCCAAGAGCTCAGCTGCAACCCTCCAAAGCACACATCCATGGTGCTGGGAGCTACAAACAGAGCAACAGTAGTGACCAGCCTAGTGACCTGAGCAGAAGACACACACAGAAGAGAAATCATCACACGCACGTGACACAGACAGGACTGAAAATCCCCTCGTGCTCGGGTTTAGCAACAAAATAAGAGTGATTTCAATGTGTTGATCTAAAAACCAAAAGAAAGTTCTACAAATAATTGCTTCTTAGACAAGCACTGTGCAGAATTAAGCAGACTTACAACAGCTGAGGACTCTGAGGTCTGCACAACCCCTAAAAGTTTACCAGGATTAAAAACCACTGAGCATCACTCAAGGTGCTCAGAAGATGTAGCACAGAAATTAGGTTTGTTTGCAGCAGTTCAGGCACTTTTAAACAGCATTTAAGGCAAAAAATCCAAATAAACTACCAGCTCTCCAGCCCAGAGAAGAAAAAGTGACTTATCTGAAATTTATCAACAATTTGAGGGAGATTTTAGACATTATAGCAGCCCGAGTCTGATGGCAACTGGGAGGTTTGCCTGAAGTTGTTCTTAGTAAGTATTTTCTCTTCATCCAAGACACCCTCAGCTGAATAACCATGCAGCCACCTCTGTGCTGTGCTCGCTCTGTCAACTCCCTCATCTCTTTTTCACCCTCCTAGCACTTCTTGGGCTGTGCTGCAGGATCTGCAAGAGATGCATTTTAACCTTTGTTGGAGACTACTCAAGGACAGAAGTGGTTTATGAACCCTCGCTGTGTAAAAAATGTCAGCGTTAAATTTCTGCAGCCCAAACCACGAAGCTATTTACTGAAGCTTTACACAAACTAATTAAATATAAGGCTCTCATGGGACATGAGAAAGAAAAGGAGAATTAAGAGATAAATCACTGGCTTTTCTTTCTTCAGCAAATGTACACTCCAATTTAATATGTTAAACCAAAAAACAGTCTGACAGGCCGTGCTTGGGCACCGATAGGCAGCATCCAAATCTTGCTTGGAACACACTGCACAGCATAAATTAATTATCTCTGCTTTACCACAACTTGCACAAAGGAATTGGGAGAGACAATCCAGACAAGGGGATGAGCTTCAGATATCAAAGGCTCCATATGGAGACCACAGAATCTCACTTTCCAGCTTCACAGAACTCTCAATCTTTGTAAGCACATGGTACAGAAACGTATCAAAGCAGCACTTCCCTCCCTGCTGACCCCGTGTCATCCTGTCAGGAGAACTCCTACTGCATGACATGCAGCCACTTCAGAGTTTCCTCAGAGAGAGAAGCACTCTCAAGAAGTCTTGCAAGAAGAGTCCACTAATACTGGCAACCTCTTCTTGCCAAGAGCAGGAAAGGTTGGATGCAGATGGCACAGCACAGACCTCGCTTGCATCAGCTAAAGGCTAGAGACTCAAGGTCAGTGCTGTTGGTGAGGAGAGCCACCCTGTCTGGACACCTCAGCAGGCTAATTCACTTCTGCAGAAGACAGTAAGTTTGTAGTTGGACCTCCAGATACTAGAAACCATGGGTCACCAGGCAATTCAGGCTAGAGGGAGCTCAGGTCATCCAGCCCCGTCTCTTGTCAGCTGTACCATCAGACCAAGTAACTCCAGGCTGTATCCAGCCTGGTTCCAGCAGCCTCCAAGGATGGATACACTGCACCAGCACCTACAGACTGCAAAGCTTGTCCTCAACCACACTGCAGAAGCAGTTAGGAAGAAGCACATCACTCCCTCCATGTTCCATGACCACACAGTAAATTTGATGTGCAAGGGGTGAATAGGCTTCATCTTCAGAAATGTTATCCTAAAGTTGAGCTCCTCTGCCATTAGCTGCATGCACAGACCATGGGAAGAGCTAACTCCAACCCCAGAGGCAAAGAACGAGCTGTTGGAAGAAGACAACAAATACCTGTAGCTCAGGACCATGAGAAAGCAAGAAGTTGAATCCTTCAACACCCTGTGGCCCCTACACATTTTACAAGAAAAACGACCAAGTTCTTTCAGCAACAGGAAACCAAAAACTTTGCATAACAATGATCTATTAGCCATAACCAAAGTAGTCTTTAAATAGTTCTTGATTAACAACTTAAGACTATTACATTTTTAAACGAAGCTGAATCATTCCATTAGTAATAATTTAAAGTACTTAAGTACGTGTTTGTGGATTAATGGTTTCCAATGAAGCCTCTAACCACGGTTTCCAAAGTACAGCCAGAATGGAAGGCAGAAGAAAACACTAAGTTTTTCAATGCCAGGAAAAAAAATAGGAGTTCTCATCTGAGGACCATATGATACCTTACAATTTATGTAGCACACCAACACCTGATTCATCTCACTCCTGCATTGGCATCACTTCCCAACACACAGGGAAAGATACTCAACCAGTTAACCCGTTAACACCAGTTCTACACTGTTCCAAGGGTTAATGACAGAATTTGAGCAGGACACCAAAATTTTTATGTAAGGACCACGGTATGTTCAATGACCAGGCAGCACCACACTTCTGGATTGGTCTTTAGCACCATCTCATCTTCCCACTGCAGCAGAGAGAACCAGGATGTCTTCGGAATTAGAGAGACCAAAGGTCTTGCTGCTCATGAGAACTTTCCTGTGGAGTCAAATCACCATCCAGATCAGAACCAAGGTATCTAGGAGATGTCCAGCAAATTTCATGGAATGTGAAGAGGCACATATAACTTCAAAGCCTCTCCCCAAACATGATAGCTAGAAGCAGAGGGACAGCAAACCCCTTTATCAAAGCAGCTCACGAAGGGCTAGAGCCAGAAGGGAAGCTCCTCCCTGTACTTTGAAAGAAAGGAGGTGATGAGGGAGAGGATAGTTACTGTATTGTCATATTTATTGAGTTTCTTGGCCCATCTACATCTCTGTCTTAAGGGAAAAGCAGGAGATGGGTTAGCACCTTCCATTAACCACTTCTGGAGTCCCCTGGGCAGGAAAAACTGAGCTGTGAGAGGGACACACACCCCACGACAGCCTCACAGCTGCTCTTACTGCTAATTCAGGAAGGACACCCCCATCTCCCAGCTCCTTGGGATCCATTTACACAGTTTCAATCTTCTTAGCCCCACATACTGAAGATACAAATATTTTATAAGGCAAAAAAGCAAAACCAATCCATATGCTCCTACAGCAATTCGCTTTGGGGACCACACTGACAGGCTAATTGACAGGTCTCTTCATAAGCACTTTAAGGAATGACCTGAGTTTTGGAAGGGTCTCTGCACACAGGGAAGAGACCTGTCAGTCTCCATCCAGGTCAGTCTTCCATCTTCTCCATTTTGTTGATCTCTATTTTTTTTTTGAAGAGGAAGAGAAGGGAAGGATTTATTTTCTAATGCATGAAAAAAATGACATGGGAAAAGATGTGCTTTACTAATTCTAAAGCCTTGTTTCTCATTTTTGTCTCCAATTCATAAATATTGTGACTACAAACTTGTATCTATCACACACCCTCTGATGGGGTAAAAAATGAAAGCACATATAAGCCTCTAATTTTACACTGACTTCAATTCCCATTTCCAAAGACAGCTAGAAAACAGGAATAGAAACTAAACTAGTAAAAAGGAAACATGCTCTTCTCCATTTCTAACCTTAAGAACATGAAAATTTAAAAAGAAATAATCAATATTAACTCCTACTCAGCTTTACATTTGCTCAGATAAGCCTTTTGAACTGAAATGTCAGAACTACTCCTAGGTGCAGAGCAGCAGGGTCAGTGTAGGACATGCATCTTGCAGGAAAACACGTTCCAATGCTTTGCAACCCATGAGCAGCCCCCCCAGTAGGAAAAATAACTAAGTACATAATTGCAAAACAATATTTTAATTGTCAGTTTTAATCTAGGTTTCCAACTCAGATTTAAATGACTTTTTTTTTTTTTTAAATCACACTGATCTAACTCCACCAACCCTGCCCAAAGGCCATCCTTCCTGCACGCCAGGAGCATACCAAGCAAGTTCTGACTGATGAGATAAATCACTACACATCTCATGACTTCCCAGCAGCAAACACATCAGCTCATATACAAGCCATAATTATTTCTTAAATAAATGTTGCCTTGAAAACTTTGCGAAAATGAGCAGCTAAGCAGACATTTCACCATCCTTTTTTGTTGTGTTGGGTTTTTTTTTTAACCTAGGGCACATGATGGCCTGAATCACAGCCAAGTGGATTCTGCAGAAGACTTACATGATCACTGCAAATATGCCTCTGAGTCTTTACTGCCTTCCTTATGATGATGGGAATAACACTGCTGCTTTCCTTTTATCCATTTATATATGTATGCATATATATGTGTGTGCATACACACCCACACCCCCCCTGCAACCTGAAGGTGTTACACTCAGTAAGAAACAACAGGCAGCAACATTATGGACTCACCACGAGCAAAATCCTGAAAAATGGAACTTTCTAGCACAACCAGCTTCACAGGGACCCTCAGCACAGCCCCTGTTACCACCAGTGGAAATATGCTCTTCTGACACTGCACAGATTTTTTTAAACGATTCCCACGACAGGAGAAGGATTAAAAAGCAATTAACTGGGCTCTCATATTTCAAACGCAAAGCCGTTATTTCAGACCAGCAGGCAGAAGAACATGGAGCTCTCAGGACTCAAAAGGTTTGTTACATTCCCTTCAAAAAAGCCCCTTCCCGTGACACCTTCAAACAGCAACACCCCAGCAGGAACCTACCCCACAGGGAGGAGAAAAAGCACCGCAAACCCGACCCAGCATTGTGTGATGAAAAGCCCTGCAAATTCCAAGCAATCTGCAAACGATTTTCCCCCCCCCCAACTTCCCCACCCAAACATCCACTGCAAACTCCTACAATTGCAAGTCGAGCGACAAAAAAAAACAACAAAAAGACCACAATAAAAAATCCTTCCTACCTTTCACTTGAGTGTCATATTCAGCGATGATCTCCTTATCCTTTTTGAATTTTGCTGGCGACGTCATGTTTTC